CATTTGCCAGTGCCAGTGCAGATTTCCCAGAGGCACAGCTGTGGGTAGCGTCTATGTCCAAGGGCCGAGGTTTGTCAGTGGACTGTTGCATAGTCACGTGCCTAAAGGAAGGTGCACCAAGCTGCTAGAGTTCGACCTAGCAAGGAATATGTAAGTCGTGTCCATCCGGCTCAAGACATCGTCAATCTCCAGAGGATCTGTGCTAATCGTTGTGCTACGCTTCTAGAAAACAGCGGTTGTCAACAGCACTGGGTATGCAAAGGCAAGAAAGCCAGAGAAATAGAAAGAATGCAGAATCGAAGTTGACGGACATGTTCGGCCAGGGCCAAGGCTAGACCACACTGAGCGTGGAATACCAGTGTGGGCATGTCGGTCACGCCGGCAACACAGCACTCCGAAGCTCCTTGGCATGCTCATCCTCCATAGTCAGAATCCCCGGCATTCCAATATACCTGGGCTTCAGTCTCGCAGAACCGATGTTGAGACCATTTTACAAAGCCACGAAGTCTTCAGCCCTGGCACAGCTGGCTCCACTCTGCAAGCAGCCGTTTCATGAAGCTGATGCTCCCGCGGTGGGCGTGCACATGAACCTGCAATCTCATTCCGAAAAATCCTGCAGTATGTGGGCTTACATGCGCCTTGTGAGCTTTCGGAACTCTTCCGCGCATCAGCTTCAGCCTCGAGCATTGCAAATGCAGGCCGCTGTCTGTAGGGTGGAAGCACGCATGCGCATCTCACGCTGCATTCTGGGGCACGTATCTGCGTCAGCCTCTCCTGCATGTCGGCGCTAGCACAACGTCTATCGCTGCTCCGACAAAGTCAGCATTTGCGAGAGCTGAGTCAGCCGAGTCGAGGCCGAGGGTCGGCTGTGGATCACCAGAGGCATCGAGAGCGAAACCGCCAGCTCCAGCCTGAAGCGAAGCGAAGCGAAGCGGAAATCGGAGCGGCTGCGGCTGCTGGGCTTTCCCGCTGTCTCACGAAGACCTCGCGCTGCTGTTGGCGATTCCCCTCATCCGGCCCGAAGTAGGGATGGGAGAAGTCCTTGTTGCTGCAGCAGTTCTGGATGGACAGCCCTGTATGGATGGAATTGTAGTCGACAGGCCGACAACCTTCTTCTGCAGACTAGGTTCTAGTCCAAATTCGCCGAAGCCAACCACTTTCTCACCTTGCATCACATGCATCTCCTCACTGAAGAACGGCGCAGCGGCTCCTCATAACGTGTCCGGGCTCGCGGCCACAGGCTTTGATGTGGGACAGCAGGGTGGCCTCAAAGTCATCGTTGTAGAACCATGCCGCCTCTGTCAAAGCTGCAAGTTGCCCTACCGGAAGACGAGCTCACAGAGCCCGCCTTCGGGTGGCAACCGAATGTCACAAATACCCTTGGATTCTATGCTCCGAAGCCACGCGCGCACACGCACAGGAAGAGAAATCTGACGCAACTGGCACGGCACGCGTAAAGTCACGAAACATCGGGTGGCTCAGTGCCAGGTGCTTGGCCATGGGGAGGGATTCGACGTCGCATCCTTGTGTGATGCAACCTTCGAAGCCTCAGGCCGATCAGCAGCAGAACAAGCAAAGTAGAACAAGCACGCGAACTGTCCTAAACAAGTCAAACGAGATGCCCAAGCCTAAGGGGAGTGTTCGGTGCATGCGCAAGAGTGGGGTTCGGGCAGCCTATCGCAAGCAAGCCCAGCAATGCGGAGGTTTCAATACCGACTGGCCTGCTCCAAAGTGCACGTCCACCACAGTGTGCAGATCGGCTATATCCTGTCTGGGCATTGACCGCCATGTAAACTCAAGGACACCATTCCAGAATCGCCCCAGTCCTCAAACATCCAAATCTCCTTCGTGAACCCTAGAGCTGCGGCTGCTGTCCTTCACAGGATGTTTCCGCGAAAGAGGCCTTTTGAACTTTGCTGCGGCCTCTGGCTCGGCGTCAGCTCTGTCCACGGCCGGTCTTCATTCAGCGCTCGCATCCTCGCCAGATGGCGCGCCTCACCTTCCAACGGACAAAAGAAGTGTCCTCGGATTAATGACGTACTCGCGGGACGACTGGAATTTTCAATTTTCGCAGGTAAAACGAGCGGTAATGTTGCACCCTCCAGGCGAGGTTTCGGATCTAAAATATGTAAAGAAAATCGGAAGAGCCCGACATGGCTCGATACAACTTCGCACATACCACTCCAAGCTCCAAGTGTTCTGCAATTTTGCACACGTGTACCCCGAGCACTTCCAGGTTGAGTTGGGTTCGAGTCTGCAGACGACTGTTGACAAAAACTCTGTACCCGACAACCTGCCCCGTTCTATCTGAAAGTCCTTTACCAACATCCTTTTCGAGGTGCTCGCGCCCTTCTGTGGCCCGGCCGCTTGCTCACACCGCCGCCCCGATCTCAAAAAGCTCCGGCGTTGATGGCGCACCCGCTACAGCGACAACCACTGGTCTTGTCGCATGCTACGATCGAATCCGCAATGGGATAAACGGCGAAGTCTAGCACATGCTACTAAACGAGCGATACAGCAAGCACTTTGACCAGACAGCTGCTACACTTCTCCTACTAGTGCAATCCAAGGCATGTTGCCCTGCCGTGCTAAGGCAGCAACCTGAGTCCATGCTCTGCGTCTTCCAAGATTGCGGACTCCAGCCATCCCAAGATCTCTGGGTCTCACCCAAAACCTGGGGCGCAACGACTGCATCCTGTGCCCTGCCTGCGTGCAGAGGGTACGTACATACTGTTAATACTGAGAGCCACTCCATGAGTAGGGTTCGTGTTTTGGTCCCCAATTCCTAAGCACGAAGCGCTCTGCTCTGTGCGCTGTTTCTTGCCAGTCGCACGCGGCGCTTCCTCTGCTCAGCGTCAGACTTCCCACGACAAGCGTGGCAGGAGCCACTTGTTTCTGTTCCAGCCTCTCTGCAAAATTCGAACATGTCTGCATCAAATCGATCAGCTCTGAGGCATCAACTGGTCTCTGTGTAGCCCAAGGACGAAGCTGCATTCCTGATTCGGGGTTACATGGCCATTGCTTGGCAAGACCATGCTTAAACTTACCTCTGGCTCATTGACAGCTGTCCCCACGTTTGCGTCCAGTGGCGTCCTCGCCAAGCAGGTTTGCGGCATGTGGCAAGACCGCATTGGACACATAGCTGGAAAGTCCTTGAGCCGCGGCCTCCGCATTTTCGACCTCCATCCATCCAAGCTCCATCCACAATGCGCGCTCCTCGTCCGTCAAGTCCCCCGGCTCCCTCGGCGCACGTGACCCTAAGGGGGACATCAAACGGCTTCGTGCAGGCCGAGGCTCTTGTTCAAGCTTGGGACAGCTTGTCGCCGCCGGATCTCTTGGACGACATCTTCGAGATGGCAGTGAACATCGACCTCAGCAAAAGAAGGACGTGTCAACCAGGAGTGCCCCTCCCTGCGGGATGTCGAGTCGCATAGGGCATCCCGCTCCAGGACGTGCAGCAGTGCGACAAAAAGGGCCTCGCGAGGAGTGCCTTATAAGTTTGGAGTGCTAGATCAGGTGCCGCGACTGGCCGAGCAGATAGCAACGCATTAAGGGAAAAACCGGCCAGTTTATGAGACTGCCAATAATGGAAATGCTAAGCCTTCTGCCAAGTAACTCAGTTCGGCTAGCATCCTGCTGCCACTTGTGGTTCACGGAGGTTGCGCTGACCAGCCTGATGGAATCCTATCGGTAGTTACAGACAGGTTTTGCCGGCGAACTCTACTTGTTGCACAAAAGGCGCCCAAGTTCTGCAAGGTCGACTCCACAGCAGTTGCATCCTCGACCGCGTCCGAACCTGCAAAAGCCTGCAGCCAGACTTTGCCATCTTCTGCCGTTCGAGGATCCGTTCCTTTCCCATGCCGGGGCCGGAGCGACGAGGCACTTTCTTGGGTGAGCTCTGGCTCTCCACGGCAACTTCACGGATGGGCTTCTTGCCGTCCATGCACCAGAGGCCACATCAAGCTACCGACTCATTTCCCCACATGAGACGGGACAAGTTCAGGAACTTGAGCAGAACAAGGGCCTGAACCATGGAGTCACAAAAGGTAAGTCAACTTGTGCGCACATTGACATGCCTTCATGACTCTTGACAGAATCTTTTGGCGCGAGGTCTGTATTCAAAAAGCAACAGGCCGTCTCCTCAGGAAGACCGCTCTCGGTGAATCCCTGGCACCTCTGTTGACTTGACATGTCAAGCTCGCAAGCTTGCAGCAACAGCTCGCAACTAAGCTCTAGGCGGAGTCCGGGCACCGTTACCTCGTTTATCTCCATGAATGAAGAAGCATACATCAACAAGGAGACATGCCCACACCCGGAAGGACAGTCACTGCAACGACCAGCAATCCTGCCGAGCCACCACTGCTCTCAAGAGTGTGGGTCAGCCAGCCGCCACACCTTGCTGCTTCTCTGTCCCTCGAAGCCTTGGATGCCCTTGACTTGCTGACAGGCCGAGCCTCCGGCCTTGTGTCAGTTGACAAGATGGAGAATCCAATGAAAATCCACACGTAATTTGCATACGAGCTGTGCTCTCTCACGTCGAAAATAATTAAATAAAGCCTGGAAGGCCTTCAGCTGAAGGTAACTTGTGCTATCTGTGAATTTTGGCTAATATTGCCTGTTCCACGTTGCCGAGTGTGTCAAGCAAGTGTTTCCTCTCCGGCTCACTGCCAGGAGGAAACTCGTGAGGGAGACAAACACAAAGCCGGGCATTTCCGGCAAATTTCCAAAGCATTGCAAAGCTCACTCTTTAAAAAGGGAAGGGGATCTGATTCATCCCCGACGCTACGCTGCGGTCGGACCTGCAAGAACTTGCATAGTGAAGTCTCCTTGCTGCAGTGTGGAAGCTGCTCGTCGGCTCCTTATCAAGTCCTTTTGAAACCGGGGTGCCAGCGGCACCCTCCCGCTAGCGAGCGAGGTGCTATAATGAGCTTGGCAGTGTCTCAGCAATCGGCTTGTTGCGTTACTGCCAGAATAGAGAAGAAAGAAAAACACTACAGTCGTCAGAGTTCCTGCTCGCCTTCGATGTCCTTCAGCGCATGAGCGATGCAATACTGACTGCGCACGCAACCAAGTGTGCAGAATGTGCTCGCTCTGTGTGTGCGTGTCCTGGAGCTGTGGTAGGTCACCATCACTCCAAGAGCGGCGCAAAGGCATCTTTTCTACTTCCTGGCCATGTGAAGATGTTGCGAAAGAGCGGTACTGTGAGCTTCAGCAAACAGGCTGGGCCTCATCAAGGAATACAGACCTTGGGCTTCTGTCAGTGTGACGGAAGTCGGGCAGTCAATTCAAGAGCCCTGTCGTGTTCGTCGTCGTGCCTTATGTGCCAAGGGAAGTATGCTGGGCGCGACGCTCCATGAAGGTGCCTTTTACTCGCAAAACCACCTTTCGCTTCGGCTCGCATCCGGCATTCGACACCTCAGCTGGAAATGACCTGCAGTGGGCGGGAGATTGCCTCGTGTCACCATGACGGCGAGAATGCCGAATCGGATGCAGCAATCATGCCAGGAGCACGCAGTTGGAGGAGCCGTCTGCTGCCGACTTAGCTTGCCGTCCTTGACCATTCACAGAATGAGGACATGCCACATTCTTAATCCTCTTGCGGCAGACATCAACCTTCCCCATGCAGCCTAGGTTCTCCCGGACACAGCGTTGACGTGTCTGACAATCCCATGTCGCTCATGGTGTCATTGAATGGGTCGGATGTGCCATCCTCTCAAGCGGGCAGTGAAGAACTCAAGATCCCAACAACCTCCTGCCCTCGTTTGGAAGATGATCCCAGCGCAGCGCAGAAAGTCCGAGGCACCTGAGGTTGGCCCGACGAAATGCTGCGGAACGGTAAACCGTTTCGATCTCGTCGGTCTCCTCGAGGAGCAGCGCGCTGAAACAAAATGCTGACGCCACGCGTGGTGCAATGCGCCCAATCCTGCTAATGTTGACGACACCGCCCCGAAGTTCGAGTAGTGCTGCATAGCTGCCTGATTCGGTGTGTCTTGGCTGTGCTCTCAGTGAAGGCATCTGACCGAGGCCGCAGCTGCTTCGTTCTCCCAAATACCGGTCAAGCCGCCCATTACATCGCAGCCTGAGCAGCCCCGCATGGTGGTTCGACAACTGCTACCCCTTGAGTGAAGTGGCAGGAGTTGAAACCCCTGCAGTAATGACCCAGGACGAGGCCCATCTGCACTCCGTCTAGGGCCATGTTGTACTCCTCCTCCATGCCGTAGCCCATGAATGCCCTGAGCTATTTTCGAGCTGGACGGCTCCAACAACCCTTGTCCGCTGCCTAACGTCCCAACTTGGTCAGGGACATTGCGTTTCCGGCCGCGGACATGCCTCCCCTCAACTCCTTCACTCCATGCGCATAGCGGCATGTGTCACCAGCCTGCGCACAGAAACGTACCATGCAGAACAAGGCATCCAAACAATCGAAATGCCAGAACGAGGCGCCCAGAAGTATAATCGGCTCCTACGCATCTACACTGAAGTTGGCTTCCTGCCATAGCTTATGCATTCTAAGACTTCCGGTGGCCCCGGCGAGCGAAAGCGTCCGTCTTGTTTCTGACAGGTCCTCTCTGAAATTGGTCATCCACTCCGCTTGGCGACCGTCATTAAGATTGTTACAAAGAGTAAAAGGCGTGGTATTCTTTTTCTGCAAGACTTGGGACGCCAGCCGCATACCACCAGAAACTAGCAGGACGGATGAAAAGACCGCTTCTTGACGGGCGCTTAGCAGACACCGAAAGCGAAGATTCCTGATGCTTCCCGGGCATAGCGATGCTCCCGTCTTACTGCATAAGGTAAGAAACAGAGGATTCAACGGCTTCGCGACATCTTCCCGTGCTTCAACGGCTCAGAGAAAGGGAGCGAAACTGTTTGGCACAGGGTTTTTCGAGCTTGCAATTGAATCATCTCATGATTTGGCCACAGGAGACCCTTGTGTGAGATCGGAAGTGTGGTGGGCGGTGGGCTGAGCTGGGGTTACCTTGAAATATTCCTCGAACGGTTTGCCATTGTGCTCACTAGCTGACTACTCTGCTTCAGAGCGCACGAGGTTGTGGAATGCGATGGCCCCTGTGCCTGCGAAGCCTACTGAAAGGGCCGTCTGCACACCGGCCGTTCCACCCGCCTTGCAGTTGTTGGCTGCCCACGCTCGGCAAAGCTCTGTCTTGTAGACACTGCCCGTAGCACGCAGCTCAGCGTGCCTAGAAACACACATCTGCGCAGTGGACCGGTATGTCATGCATCAAACTGAGCTTCTTGGCCCGTGTGCAAACTTGCAGTTGGCATCGTTGCACCTGCGCATGCACATGGTCGCAAGGCCCAGGTAAGAACTGGATTGTTTCGCTGTCGTGGCTGGGGCCAGCGCTTCTTTCTAAAGAAGTTGACCTGTGTTCAGCATGGAGTAAGCCGATCACAAACAGAAAATGATGAAATGCCAGCAAGATGCACAAAGCTTCGTCTTCGAAAGATCTGGAGGTGCATTGAGCTCTTCTCTGGAGTGCGCGAAAGGACAGCCGACACCCATTGTGCACTTCTTCCTTTGTTGCCACAAAGCTCCAATGGCTCGCTAAGCTGCAGAAAGTATATTTGTACTTTCAGCCGTCCGAGGCACTTCTTGTGGAAGGCACACATCTTGGTCTTGTGGAACTGTCCACGGATCCTTGAATGCTCCACTCATGTGCACACACGTCTGCGCAGCTGTAGTGTGAGCAAGCCATGCGCCGAAGCCTAGGCCCTACGGGCTATTTGAAGACAAGCATCTGTGGGGAAAACTTGCCTGAAGGATTATTCATCATTGCCTGGCTTGGTGCTTGCGTTAAGCAAGCTCGATGGCGTTTGATACAAAAACAATCGTCTGATTTGGGCTGACACCTCGCATGATCGTGCAATCTGTGTCAGTCACCCAGAAGACTCTGTCTAGCTTTCTTCTGGCCTGCGCACCGTTGATGGCCCAGGCCGCGGGCGTGGGCGTGGGAACGATCAGCGGGCCGTTCACCATATCACCCGACCCCACAAACCTGCTTGGCACGTTTCGGGGCATGAACTTGCGTCAGTGCTTTACACTCAGATCTCTACGAGACATGAAGCTACCACTGCGAGGAATGCAGGGTTTCCGCTGACACGATGCAAGGAGTGCGGAGTTGGTGGTGGAAAAAAGATGTGCTCGAAGCACGATACCCCAGGGCGTTCTTCCACTCAAAGCTTTGCTGGCTGCAGCCCTGCTGCTGACTGAAGTGTGCGATGTTGTTCTCCAGGCCCTGGATGCTGTATGGCTGGGCCACACCCTCACTCGGGCACTGCCTCAACAAACAGGCACGATGACCACGTGCTTTCACGCAAAGATTCTCAAGTCAAGTCGCTGGAAGTAGCCTCGGCATGCAGCCAGATGTGAGAGCAAGCACAGCTCAAAGTCTCAAGTGCATTCCCGCTTGCATCGGAAACGATCCCAAAACAACCCAAAACCCAACCTTCGACAGTTTGACGACTTGCAGTAAAGGCACTTAGGCACATGCTGGCAACCGCCTGCAGCAGCACAGGCTGGCCGAATGGATAGGCGCTGAAGGCCTGGGCTCCCCTCGGCCTGGTCTTCGAAGTTGATGAAGACACATCTGCCACCCCAACCCTCGGAGGGCTCCTGGAACCGGCCAGAGGCTTTTGGGCTCAACTCCAGGAGCTGCTTGCAGTCAAGTATCCGGAGGCATGTAAAAGAAGTTGTAGGTTCCAACGAAGCCCCACGTGTCCAGCTGTCGCCTTTGAAGAGTCGTGACATAGGTCATGTTCCTCCATTGGAGGCTTAGGACTTCACTAGAGAAACGACTGCAAAGCACATGGCCGCTCTTGAAAGCAGAACTCCCATCCTGCACCACTAAAGCCTGCGGAGGCCGGCATGTAGGACTAAAGTCGAATGTGCGACCCTTGCCTAATATCGTTGGTTCGACCGACTCATTATAGGACACACACACACACACGCGCTTGTTAACATGCTCGCTTTTTAGCTCGGACACCTTTTTTTGAACTTGTTGCTTTGTTCTTCTCGTTCAGATCTGTTTTCTTGTTTGCACCTGCTCACCACCTGCAGCAGCCTGTTTGCCGGCTCGCCGGACTTCTTGTTGATGCTTCTTTGCACTTTGTCGGCAAGTATGCTTCCGTCAAACGTGTTGCAGTACCGACGAAAGCTTGTTTCGAAGACACAAGACACTACATGACGCACTGGTGCCGTCTCAGCCGTTCGCCGAGGCGTCCGAACCGCTGACAAATGCAAGCAAACAGGAGCGATGTACTCGTTAGTCATTCTTCAACCACAGAAGATGCAGTGCTTGGGCTTGGCACCGGAAGGTATCGGCATCCATGTGGTCTGGAATCTGCGAGATCATCAGCGTTGTGATGGGCATCATCGATTGCATCAGACTTAGTAGTGCAGAGTGCGGACGCAGAGTTGAAGGCTCACAGCTTTCGAGAAAAGATCGCCGAGCCGGGAACGTCTGCTCGTCCTGCATATCCTGCATTACGTTGCACAAACTTGGAGACGTCCAAGCCTTTGCAAGCTGCCTGCGACCGCTTGCGTCGGCCAAATGCCTGACTGGACCTCGGCAAGCACCCAACGTTTTCTCACTTCTGCACGCCGCGACTTGCATGTAGCCAGGTCACCCGGAAAGAGTGAATGCCTGCGAATCGGGTTACTACAATGGACAAGGATGAAAGCATCTCCACGATACACGCACCTCGGCATCCGACCTGGGTATGCGTTGCAAGGGGGCGTGTCGTGCTGTTAACGCATGAAGTGTCGACCCCATCTGCCTCAACTCCTTGGCCGCGGCGGTTTCCGGCTTCTCCAGCTCCTCGGACTCCTGCAACGTCTCGCTCAGTCTCGCTCGCTGCCCTGGTCTTTGGATGAAAACCCCCTACCTGTCTCTCGGGCGTGCTGGCACCAGGCAGCATCCTGTAAAGAATGAAGAGATGAGGAAAAGGCCGTACTCAGAGCTTCTGACTTCTGAGACTCCCGCTCTTGCGCTTCTTCCCGCGGCGGGCTGCTAGTTCTGGCCTCACGACTCAGATGCTTCGTTGCCATCGGCTCGGCATGCTATGTGACTGTTTCGTCGCACGTGTGCTCTCGAAGCTTTGCCTCGGGTGTCTTCGCATCTTCTTTGCTACCTCGCCTGGAATCTGCCTTCTCGTCCGAAGAGTTTCTTTCGACCTGAGAGCAGTCATGCCAATTCAAGCACCTAGTCTTCCTGTACCACGGAGGCCGTTCTTCGCCTGCTGCGCCCTTGTCTCAGCTTTCTCTCGCTCCTTCCTCGGATGGCGCCTCGACTGAGTATAGATCAAGGCGAGGCCTATGCAGGCCTAGATATCGCATCGCTACAGAAGGATGTGAAAGCCGAGGCGATCTGTCGAGCTGCTCGTGCTGCTTCCGCTCGGATGGCTTTGGCTTCTCCTCTTCGACAAAGTCCTCCTCACTGTCTTCTTTGTCACTGTGGTTTCCCTGCAAGATTGCCGAGATATGTCGAATTTGCGCCCAGGACAAAGAAGCGCCCAAGCGTCTGCCTTGTGGCCCCCGGTTGCTTCAGCCTGTCAGGCTGGCAGGTCTGCCCTGAGATCTACTCATCTACTCCGCCGCCCGCCGCCGTGGCCCTAAACGACGAGTCAAGCGAGCCTAACACCAACAGGCGCGCTCGCTCAAGGAAAGTAAAAGCACTGATCTCTAAGGGTCCGGGAATTGCATTTCGATCAGGAGACCCACAGCAGCGATAGCGAGGGCTTCCCATGCCGACCGAAGATCGCAGCAGGCTTATCGCACTCCACCAAAGGCTGGATCACCACAACTCGCACTGGTTTAGGATGTCATGTTGTATGTATCTGCTGCCTCGGCTGCCTCCGCTGCTCGCCTCGCCTTGGCTGCAAATTGATACGCGCGGCGTGCGGTCGTAAAGGCACCATCGGTTGAGCCGAGCAGCCTCTTTTTGGCGCTTACGCTGTTGACGCCGGAGCTGGGAAGGAGTCAGCGTCTGGCGTAGGGACTTCACCTGTTCTCCCGGTGCGCGATCGTGCAAGTCACAGCGGTAGTTGGCGCCAATCTGTGCAGCCCCCTGCCTGTGGTGGCTGTTCACTCTCCTACCACAAAGACCAAAAGCAGGATCCAATCAACGAAGTGCATAGTCGCCGTTGCAGCATGTTACACCGATGTAGTCCTGATGCTCAGAATTGGCCTGCGCGAGATCCGGACAACAGTTAGCAAAGCTCGATGCAATCTCCAGATCCAGCGGCACGCATGGAAAGCATACTTGCGTCTTGCCTGCGATCTTCTATCCCTTCCTCCGCGTCGTGATCTCTCTGCGTCCCGTTGTGCCATAGCTTCCTGAACAGACGGTCTCCACTGCGCACATTCCTCACGTATCTATCGTCTGCCGAGAACTTCCGCCCATGTTCCTAACCAGCGGCTACAAATCGCAACCCAAAAGGAATAGCAACGATGAGTCGATGAGGCAAACAGGCCAAAGCGCTTGGCAACAGAAGCCATATAAAGCCATCCAAAGTGTCTGCACAAGTCTCCTGAAACTCCTCAGCTCGACGGCGCTCTTCTGCCGCCTTCTGCTTGACCTAACACAAGACTATCACTGCATACACAGGCTGTCACAGGCTGATCCAAAGATGTGCGTTCCTTACGTAGGCGCCTGCTCGCGCCCCAGCTCCTCCGCTTCCTGGCCGCACAGTGATGACACGTCACAACCAGAAAAGCAGGCACGAGCACCTTCGTCTCAGCGGCTTGTTCCTCCTTGATCTTTTCGGCCTTCTCCTGTCGCTTCCGCTCTTCCTCCTCAGCTTGCCTCTGGCGCTCTTTCTCCTCTTCCTCACGCTTGCGCTTCTCTTCCTTCTGGCGCTCCTGGCGCTCCTCCTCTTCTTTCTTCAGCTCGGCTTCCTTCTCGGCCTGCACTCTGCAACGGGCACGCCGGGCACGCGCGCCGCGAGCTTCCAAAGACGCGAAACCAGTGAGGCACATGATCGGCACATGTGGCACTTGCCTTGCGGCGCAATTCTGCCTGCTCTGCCTCCCGTTGCAGCCTTTGTTGGTGCTCTTGTTCCAAGCGGTCCTGCTCCTCCTGTGCCTGGAGAACGCCAACACCGGTGGCATGTCTGAGAAACTTGCCGATGCTTGCCTTTCTTCTCTGATCAGCTTCTCTTCTCTCGCGCAATGCTGCTTCCAATTTCTGGCGCTGCTCCTCCTCCTCCTGACGTATTTTTTCCTGCCGGGCAGGTATGCCGCAATGCCAGGCATGCTACGCCACGTGCAGGAAGTTGGAGGGAGGCCACGCAGCGACCAAAGGGACCGCCGGCCTCTGCAAGCTTCTTGGCCTCTTCAAAGGTGATGCCCCCGTCTTCCCACATGCTCCCTCATGTTCCCACATGCTTCATGGAAAAAGCCTTCGCATCCGAAAGTGTTAGACATCAGCTCTGCAAGCTGTGTCAGCAAGATAGAACCAATGCTTTCGACAAGCATGTCCGTTTTACAGGCGAAAGTTCCCAGACACTTAGGCTGCCTGCTTGGCCTGTCGCTTGCGGCGCTGCTTCGACTGCTCCACAAACTGCGTGTCCTCCTCCTGCGCAGACACGGGTTTTAGAACGCAGAGACCTCATGCAGGCACAATGTCCTCCTCGTCGATCGGATCTTCAGCCTGTTCCTCCTCCGGTTCATCCTCTACCTGCTCAAGTTCGGGCTTCAGGGGTGAGGCACTCGAAAGAAATATATCTGTCCGCGACTTGCACCCAAAGGACGGAATCATGTGGAGTCTGGGCCATAACCAGTACCCAGTTACCAAGTCCACACCACGAAGTAAGGCTGGAATGCTGCATACATGCTGCTCTTTCTTTCTGGCTTGCTGGCAGGCTTGGAGAAGGCATGCCGAAGCACACACACGCGCACACACACACACACACACCGAGATATTGATCGAAAGAGATGCTTTCGCGCCGTAGCACCGGTGCAAAACTGTAGGCCTGCTGTCAGCCCACATGCACCTTGTGTCTGGTGTGTGTCAAGCCCAGCGTTCATTGTTGGAAGGCTTGAAGAAATGCCCGTTCGGTATATATCTGTTGTTTCACTTCGTAGTTACTGACGGCAAGGCGGTTGTTTCAGGACTCATGCGCCGCGGGCAGCTCTTCATTATGGAATGGAGCTTTAAAAATGCAGACTCACTTGTGGTTTGGTCTGCGGGTTAAAGCGGAATAGCCCTGCTGTCCTGGCTAGGAGATGCGCGTTCCCTCCCATTGAGGGGGTCTAAATTCTCAAAGGGAGAGAGATGAAGAGACCTCAGCATCGAACCCAACCCGACATCCTTTCAAGAGAAAGCATCGCCCGTCGCCACGGTGATGTGTTGCATTCCGTTCATTGAAAGGTCTCACAGCACTTTCGGAGTGCACCGCTCGGAAAAGACACGCCCTTTCCTCGTTGAACCATCTGCTAGTGTAGACTGCCCTCTCTCACCTGTCTCCTTCAGAAACCTTAAACTTGCCCTAAACCCGCCCCCTTGTCTTTTTTGGGGCGTGAGGTCCCTTCTTCATTTCGATGGCAAGTCACCCGTCCACAACTGCCCCAACAGGACGTGAAACTTGTGTTGATTGCTCTCTAACGTTGAACTAAGTCATGCCATGAGGGAGCAACGCTTCTCACAACATGCGTGAATGATAATAGTCCCCCGTCGCTCCACTTTCAAAACACAACATGTTGACCCACTACACAAAGAAATCCCTCGACGGGTCCATTTCGCAGTGCTTCTGCATGCACAGTGTTGAGGCGCAAATGCATATCAAGACATCATGAAACCCCCCATGATCAACATACAAACAATCACATCATTACACGGCCCCAAGGCTGCTCGCCAACTGTCTTGTTTCTACAAGTTGCTGGATCAACTAACGCAAGTCTCATCGTGAGGGAGCTGTGCGCATGACAGGCGGCAGTCTCCACATCAAGCACAGTCGAAGCATCACAACTGTATTTGATTTGTTGCTAATGGGATCCCTCGGTTCTGGCAAAACAGAGGAACACATAGCAGCCTAGAAGTGGCTCACCGCTGCCGAGAGTCCTTTGAAGATGTAAGACTGATGCCCCGGCCGAACACAAGCCCTGATCACCGCCGACTTTACACTAGAAGTTCACCGAGCTTCGGCCTGCTTTGGAGGATTATCATTCGGTGCTTTATTCATACTGCATGTTGGGAAGGTTTCCCCGTGTCCCCCATTGGCAGTCGTTTGGGGGATCACATGGCGCCAAACAGCACTACATGCATGTACAAACACGCAAAAACATCACCAGACTCTCCTGTGTGTCCCCCGTGGTCTGCAGCTGTGAACCTCCGCTCTCAGAGTCGCCGTTCATGCAGATGAACAGCGGATTACAGCATCATTGCGACTGAGGAGGTGGTCAGTCTCCCAGTTCATGCTGTCGTTCCAGGGTCCACCCATCTGCATCGGGAGGGTGCGGGATCCGGTGTTTTGCTTGCTTCAGATTGAAGGAAGGGGTCTAGCCCCCTTTCTTTCGCCAGGGTTGTGGTGGGATGGGAAGTTCCCCACCCCACCGCGCGCGAATGCACCCGCGACCTGCGCAGGTCGCGGCCTCTCCATCTCTCTCACGCTCGCCCTACCGTGTCGATGCTATTGGAAGCACCGTTGCTCAGCTAAACAGCTCAAACTCGCCTCAGCTTCGGCATCTTCTTTGACGTCCTCTGCTTCTGCTACCTCCAATGCCTCCTGCATGGATGCATCTGCCTGTAATCTGGGTCGTGGACTGCACCCGCTGACCTGCCTGCTTTGCAACAGCGTCTGCTTTCTTGGCCTAGCTCCAGCGGTTCTCGCATGATCGCTGCTGAATCTGCAATCGATGGAAGGCCTTCTTGCGTTCTTTGCGGATTTGAGCTGCCTTTTCTTGGTTTGCCTGACGGCTGGCGCATCACAAAAAGCTGCGACAATGGGATGCAAGAAAGGGCCTTCTTTTTGGCATTCTTCCTTGGTTCGCAGGCTTAAACTTTTGGGATGGACCTGAACCAGTCTACCGGCCGAGCCACTGCTCCATCTGATCGATCCAGGACTCATCCAATACTTCCTCTGCCTCACACGAGCTGCCGTCTGCCTTCACACCGCACACAGTGGACCTCCAACAAACCAAGCCTGCTTCTCTTGGGTCTCCTTTGTTGGCAGATGACCGCTGCACATCAAAGCTCAAAGCCGAGGGAACAGCAGAAGATCTTCCGTAATTGCGATAGGCTAGGGGCTGCTTTTTCGGCAGCTTCCCGGGCAGCGGCCTCCTGCAACAGATCTAGAGCCGCAAAGAAAGACAGTGCAGCGCCTGTACTTGCAGAATCTTGCAGTTCACAGCAGGCGTCCTTTCTCTGCTGCAAGCGTTTCCTTTCATGATGCGACTGCGACAGCCAATCCGAAACAGGCCAGAATCCGAAGCCAGGACTTGCCTTGCACGCTCCTGGGATGGAGCCAATGGTGCCTCGCTGCACATTCCATCTCATTCCGTCTGTTTGAACCGGCTGTTTGCCTTTAACCTCACTCCAAGCGGCTGCGGGAGGTGGCGGTCGTTGGGCTGCTCGGACCGCTGCAAGGCCAGGGCCTACGAGGTTCCTCGGAGAGAGGTACTGAGGTACAGTCGGCAGTCGGTTCTCTTGGGTCTCCCTCCGCGCTGTTGCCAAGAGGCATCATCAGTTCCGGCGGAAGCTCGATCGCGTCGCTCGGCAGACCATTCTCGCCTTGGCTCGCAGTGCCACATGAACAAAAGCACAAAGAGTACTGGCAAGCCGGAGCTTCGGCCATAGCTCATCGTCAGGGGATCCCAATTCCTCGGTCAAGTTCTCCGAAACGCTGCCCCGCGCCTCTAGCTAGGGCCAACCACAGTCAAGGCTCAGGTCATCGGGCACATGGCCTTCGGAAGCCTGGATAAAAACCAGCAGCTCAGCAAAAAGCGGTCATGCAAGGCGAGTCCCACATCCCAACCCATATGGCCTCAATAATTTGTGCCTAGGCTGCCCGGTGCGGAGTTCGTGCATTCTCTCGTGCCACGGGCCAGCCGCTTGCATTGTCACTGCAGCCGAGCTGCAGCAGCTTTCATGAACGGACTGGGCTTGTAAGTCACGTCATCTGCTTGTGTCCCCTACAGACAGCAAAAGCTGCTTGAATCATATACCAGCCACAAGGGGCTTAGCCGAACAGACGCGTCAGGTAAGCGCACCACATTGGACGCCATCCACAAAACTCCGCTTTCGGCCTGAAGGACACGGAAAAAACACGGCTTCTAAAGTAGTAGTGGCAAGCAGAGCTCGGCCCAGAGCCGTCCAGCCAAGAAAGGGAGAACTTAAAAGGCCATGGAGCTAAGCTTGAGCTAACATGAAGCTGCGCGTATGGAAGAGCATGTTCCATCACCCCATGCCAGCGGTCGTGCGTTTTTTTCGGTGTTGTTTTTCTGTTGTTTTTGGTATGTTTTTTCCGCTTGCCTGTTCCTATAAGGGTACTACAATCCTCAAGCCGCGGGCTTTTCAGCACCTCTCTCACAAATCCTGCCACGCTTTGCCCTTCGGGCTCGTGGAAGTCTTTCCTCAGCAGCGGTTTAGGCTTTTGGGTTTTGGACTTTTGTGCCCTTCGCGGGCTTGTTGCCCTTCGCGGGTTCTTGCCCCACGGCGGGTTTTTTGCTCTTTGCGGGTTTCTTGCCCTTGGTGGGTGTTTTGCCCTTCGCGGGCTTCGTACCCAACCCTTGCCCACGCAGGAGCAAAATAGCTATATCCTCAAAACCCTGACCCAAGTTCTATGGCCCTAAAACACCATGCCGCACCCCAATTTTTTCGGATTTTGCATCCGCCCGGCGAGGGTGCGCCCCGACGGCCCCCAAGCGCTGCCCGTTTTGCGAGTGGACCATGCACGGGCGCGACGCTCGATTTTAACATAGACCCCGCTTATGCTTAGCGCCTGTTCCCGGCCAGGCGGCCAAAACGGTGCCGGCAAGCCTCGGATCGTGGTCCGGGAGGGTTCAGGATGGGTCGAACACAGCCGCACGGAATCGTCGAGCATCACGAACCCGCTCCGGCACCGATTTTCAACACAAACCCGTTCAATGGTGAGCGCATGTTCCGGGCCCGCCGGCCAAAAAGTAGTAGTAGTAGTAGTAGTAGTAGTAGTAGTAGTAGTAGTAGTAGTAGTAGTAGTAGTAGTATGCGTGGGGATTTGATCTTGGTGATGTTCTCTGTCGCTCACCCCACAAAGAGCTATATTGACTGTTGGCGTGGTTGCCCTCTACAGACTGGACCACTGTTACTTCCACTTCCACACACGCGCTCCTATGCAGGCAGATCCAGCGTTCGCTCGTTTTGCACACTCACGGCCGGCGGTGGATCGTCTGTGCACGGGATAGCTCTGTCCACTCGGAGAATCACAGAAGATTATAGCACTTTAGCTATGGGCAATGCTTTCTAGAGCTTGTGCTCATTCTTGAGCCAAATGTTGCATGGGCGGTCATACTGAAAGGACGGATAGGCATTGCGGTGTGCGTAGCACTACCACAATCCTACTCCTAGAGACGAGGGACGCGTAGCGTGCCCTCTTCCCTTGCACTTTACACGGTCTTGCTCACAGCTCTTATAGTGACACCTTAGAACTTGACAAGGCATCGCAGTCCGTTCGCACCCCCCATGAGTTGCGTCTCCGACGCTGCTCACCCGGAAGATGGCACGATAGGAATATCAGAAAATTGTTCCGCCGCAACTTTGACATATGGATCAGAGCTTTTGCATCCCAATTAGAGACGTTGTGACACTCATTTACGTCGGTAACGATCCCCTAAAATGGCAAACGAATCAGGCGTCACCGAAGAAAGAAGCATTCGCGATGGGATTCCACGTGCGAAGCGCAGAGGTCACAAGCTGGAAGATGAGGTAGATCAGGTGTTGTCTCACCGCCATCTTCGCGTTGACGTAGGATCGCGTTCCCAGGGCCGGAGGTTCTCCTCTGGATACTGGCTCTTCTGCTTTCCTTTGTCCTTGCCTTTGTTTCGGCCTTTGCCGGCGATGTAGCCATGGTAAGAGTTGGCGTTCCAACCTCCATGTTGATCATCTCCGGTTCTCTCACGCCCTTTTGACGGTCCCTTTGCCGAGGAAGCGCTTGCACGTTCCTCCGTAGTGACGGGCGTGTCCATGATGGAAGTACCACCCGGAGGGAGATATTCTTCGGCCGAAATGTGATGTAATGCTTCAGGACGTCGAACATTCGGATGTTGCTGTCTTTCAACTCTGGACTTGACCAATCTGTCCAAGAAGTGCGCTGGCATTTGCACGTTGTGGTCCACCAGCAGTCCAATGGTCTGGACGGAATAATCTGCATGAGTCAAGAGGATGCCGACCGGGTCGATGTACAGAAAGTCCACCGGTCCAGTTGGCGTGTTTCGTAGTACCGAAAATTGTTGATGTCCTGTCACCATCGGGATAACTTCGCATAGGACGTTTAGGCAACAAAAGTGCATTGCCTTCACGTCTTCATCCTTGTTACTCTTCAAGTACGTGGTTGGATTGAAGTTGTCCCTGCCGATTCCCATCATGTTGGCTCCCCGTGTCAATAGCGAAAGCATCTGGTTCGTCCGGAAGCGCTTCAAAGTGTAAGTCCCGTTGGGATCATACGACTTGAGGTTGTCAGGCTCCTTGGCAAAGCGAAGGATCTCCTCATCAGTCACATCCCTGCTCACACCTGTTTCTTTGTCCACTCCAGCCAAAGTTCCCCACTTTCCGAGCACACATAGCGTTGGCCGTGCGCGAAATTCTCTCTCATCTGAAACAGCGGCATAGTCGCCCACTTCGCGAATCCTGACCAAGCTTTGTAGATGGTTCTGCATACCACGAATGCCATGTACGAAAGAGCAGCCATGTTGGCGTCGATGCAATGGGCATTTCGTTTTCCGTGGTAGTAGGACGGCTGCATGGCGGTGCGGGCGATCTGCAGTTCAGGGTCGATGTTCAAGGACTGACCGGCAATGAGGACGGGACGTCGTTCCTGTGCCACCGCATCTGGTACTTCGTCATCAAAGTCCTCTCCTGGTTCCGTGTCCATTTCTTCATCAGGTTCCTGTTCTGGATCGTCATCACCAACGACGGATGGTTCTGGAATTCCTTCAGGTTCCGCAACCGATTCCGCTTCCATGGCTTCCTGTTCCTCGACGGTTGCCTCAGGTACTGCTGCTGCCGCAGCTTCCATTGTCTGAGCAATGAAGTCACTTGGGATCTCCGTAGGAGTCTCCCGTTGTGGAGTACCTTGGTAGTATCCGCAAGAAACGAATTGTGACCAGCAGGATGTACATCGAGAAAAGCATGCTGGAACAATGTTGTAGCACGCTGGGCATACCCTCATTCTCCTACCATCCTCATCTCTTCGTAGATCTTCGGGTCGCCAGTTCTTGATGACAAACTTAATGCCCTTGTCCATGTAGTGATGCCGAACCGTGTTCTCCCTGTGGGACTCCAAGACAGTGGTAAGGTCTCGCATTATCTGCTCCTTGCTTGTGTCATGAGGTCCAGGAGGCATCTCGCAAAGCAATTCCATGATTTTGCTTGGCGTTCGATATCTCTCGAATTCAGGAAGCAATGGGGATCCATTGTAGTCCAACACCATCTCTTTCTCCAATCGTTCATCATAGATCTTTTCCACCAGAGCGAAAGAATGTGTATCTTGAGGATTCGGGACGCAAAACCATACCTCCTTCACGAACTGGAACGATATCGTTCGACCAACGATGACGACACCGCTGTCAGTGATACGTCCACCTTCTCGGGAGGACCACAAGTGGCATGTGTTTGGCTTGCGGCCCGTGTACCCGAGCTTTGGTAGTCGCGTTCCGGCTGTCGAACGGTGCGAACACCCCCCAGTAACTGTGGAGTCTGCCACCTCGGTTGTCCTGAAATCGACGCCGATGGTCGAAGTCCCCGTCAGGATCCTCCGAACCAGGCATGACGCCCTGCAGAACAATAGAATCCAAGTTGCGGCATGCTGTAGCGTGGAACGCGCCCCCGAGACGTGTCAAGAGGGTCATAGACGGAGATATTGCGAACCGGTCCTTGTCCAACTGAAGCAAATTGTTCTGGGGATCGAAATCGTAGAGTGACCACTCGTGGCCCGAACAGCCCATGGCTTCACCCAGCCGTTGCAAACGTTCAGGTACCTCTGATTGTGTCGGCAGCGGTCGTTGTTCTGGATCTCTGTGATCTGATCTGGAATCGACACTAACATGTTCGAGTTCGCAGATCCAAGAGTCTCTGTGCCGGGGTTCTTCACCCTCACACCCAAGAACTGTAGCCGGATCTTGGCCTTGTGGAGCTTCGTGAGTGAAAGCATATTCCCTTGGAACAATAGCTGCAGTCTTTCATTGTACACTCTCTTCCTTTGGTACTCGTCGGTCCTTGAGACCGCTTCGGTAATGCGCCTGCTTTCATGGGTCCATAGTTGTTCTTGCCTCACCAAGTCCTCGATCAGCACCCATCCTCCTTCATCACATCGAATGACGCTGTTGAACGCCACTTGGCACCGGTTGTCAAGCCATTCTGAACCTGGGCGCCTGGCAATTCTGTGGCGTAAGTCAGATTGAATGCAGGATAGTGCCCGTTCTGCGTTCCTTCTTCGATGATGGGTGATGTTGCGAAGGACAACTTCATTCACGATGTCCCATCGGTTGTTGATGAAGCTTGCACCCTTGGTCGGGATCAGGTCAAGAATTCCGCATCGGATTGGCCTTCCGCCGCCGATGGATTCGTAGCCTGGGTTTGCCCATTCCTGAGTATTCTCATCATACCCAAAGTTTGGACGATCTCCTCGTTGAGGCAGTCGTCGGTCACGATGGTCCGAAAGCTGCTGCTCAATGAGATCCACCACCCGCTGACTGTTCTCGGGTCCCATGTCCCGTAGCGGCACACCACAAGCGTCATGTAGGCCTCGACGGTTCTCCACTTCCGTGCATAGGTTGTGCTTGTTCTCGTAACGAATCAAGACCACATCACCCCGAACGGCTTCGCCTCCGCGCCGCGGTCGGGCTTTGGCCTTGGGTCGTCGGTCCGAGGAAGCAACACTCACATGGTCTGTGGT